CTTCAAGTATCTAACTAAGTGCAATTAGAATGTCCAGCTCTCTTTCGACTCTTCAAGAATTGATTTCTGCCAAACCCGGTATTACATATCAAAAACGAAAATTTTAAACTGGTTGTCTAAGTCGTGGAGAAAAATAAAATTCATTTATTCAGAGTGTTCATATTTTTGCAAATCTTTGTTTCGGATAGATTTTTGTTCCAATTAGTTTTGAAAATAAACTCCCTTCTTTACCTGATCCACTTTCATAAAAAAAAGGAAAGGAATTCTGGTAGTTCCACAAGGTTCTGTGTTAGGTCCCATTCTTTTCTTATTATATATTAATGACCTCACCAAGCTGGGAAGTTCACCTTATTCTCAGATGACACTACCATACTTTGGAATAATAGAAACACTTGTGAGTTGCACAAAATAATCTCTGCCGACTTGAAAAAAGTTAAAGATTGGTGTGATTCAAACATTTTATCTTTTAACTTAACTAAAACAAATTTATTGTCATTTAGATGCTCAATCAACGAACTTTTTTTAAGACAGATCACTAGAATCTAAAAATAACACTAAATTTCTAGGAGTCTTCATTGACCAGAATTTAAAATTTGTGGATCATGTTAAACCACTCACTAGAAAAGTCTCCTCTGGCTGTTATGCGGCAAGAGTGATTTATAAAGAATTGGGGTTCAGCACTGCAAAGATGGCGTACTTTTCACTCATAGATTCTCACTTACGCTACGGAATACCGTTTTGGGGAGCATGCAGTCCAACTTTATTCAAAAGTCTAGTAATTTCACAGAAAAAGGTAATAAGGTATATAGGAAACCTTAAACCAAGAGACTCCTGTAGAACCTTCTTCAAAAAACATAATATTCTAACTGCATTATTTATACTGGAATCTGTGTATTTAATAAATAAGCATATATTAAATATTGCTGCATCCTCTTTCCATTATAACACCCGAAACTGAAGACACACTCTGAAACTCACTGTGCCAACTAAAAACATTACCAGAGACTCCATATTTCACAACGGTGGAAAAATGTACAATCATTTGCCATTGGACATAAGATCTGCCAATATAAATGACTTTCAATTCAGGAAGTTAGTCAAACCCTATTATACTTTGGATGAATATTTTAACGATAGCTTTTAACTGACTCACGCATATTTTTTATCTTTACTTATTAAGGAGCTCTTAAATTGTTACTTTTTATGTCTACTCTTTTATAAACTTGACTTTTACTCTTTTATATATCTTTATAATCACACTTTGACAGGTAAGACCTCGTTAGTCCTTAGCTCGCACAATTTTCTCAACTTCTGAGAGTTGTTTTTCGTATGGGGGTGATAGCTGATTAACGGAAAAACAGATTTTGAACAGATTTCATATATCTTTCATATCCTCCATTTTGACATAGTTTTCTTTGTCATATATACTTATATATAATATAACATAAATAAACACACCTATTGAACCAGACAAACAAACATTCATATCCAAACAAGAATATAAACAAAAATCTTACATAACCTGAATTCAAATATGCACATTTTGTCACGTAAATTTATCAATATAGAATTTAAACATTTTGTTTGTCAAATTTGCCTGTCTTATATCTGAGGGCAACTGATTAAACATCTTGACTCCAAGAAATTGGAGAAATTTAAAAGCGGTAGAACGGGTGCTATAAGAATGGCATGAAGCCTCAAATAGGGACATATTTTTGTAAACGAGGCAAACTGTTTCCAAAATGAACAAAGCAATCACTTTCAAAATATTTTGTTCAGCGAATTTGTATCTGCATGAATCACAAGGTTTAATTTTACAAATATACCTGATAGCCCGTTTCTGCAGTACTAATACAGACAGAAGTGCTGATGAATTGCATATTCCCCAAAACGGTATTCCATAACGTAGGTGGGATTCAACGAGGGCGTAATACACCGTTCTAGCAGTTTTATTCCCAAATTTATTGAAGTTATTCTCACTGCATAATATCCAGAACAAATTTTACTTTCAATACGGTACGGTACGGTACGGTACGGTACGGTACTGATTAATACGGTATATTGCTGGGGAGAGTGGTGTGATGACTGCTACCTAGGACCTTAGTACATTATCTACATCATTATTATATTTTTTCAATAAAACCGTTCAACATAATTTTTTACTCATTTTATTTTCAAGTTTTCAGTTTCTAATTTTTATCCACCCTGATGCCACACAGTTCTCGGCACGTTTCAACCTTTTACCCTCATTTGGGTGGTGTATCGCTAGCGACGTATCATTTTTAGCCACACAACGCTCATAGTCCTCGACACGATACAAAATCTTGAGTTGGGTGGAAGATCCATGCTTGCATCCCGATTCCGAGTTGACACAGTTCTTTGTATAGATTATATGGGATTTGCATCTTTTTCATAGTGTACTACTATAGTACTTGTCAAGCCCTGTCATTTGATACCCATACTGAGGTAGTTATGCAAAAATATGTAATCCGCCACTTTGTATCTGCGGCCATCTTGGATTTACAATGATACAGAATCTATCAAATTGTATTATCATCAAAACTACATAAGTGCACCAAATATCAGATCAATCTGTCAATAGGAAGGGGTTCAAACTTCAATTACTGAATTTGGCCCAAACAAGCAAGGCAAGCTAAATTGAATCGTTTAATGAAATGAAGTGAACCATTGAATAATTTCATCTCAACGAACTATGACAGTTAATCGTTACCATTGGTAGAAACTTTTGCATTACGATAGAAATTGATCTCCAATAATGATGATAATATGAATAATTGAAAGCTTTGAGGCTGAGTTTGAGGGTTTCATTTTCGGAAATATTGTTATTGTATTGATAAAAATTCTGGGAGTAAACATAAGTATCTTTTATTACATCATCAGTCGATAGAAAACGAAAACCACTGTCACTGTTGTACTATTATTTTAAATCGACAAATAAAAATTTTAATTAAATTCATCTATGTAACATTATAAGAGAAAAAAATCATATAAACGATACACGTCCGTTAAGCTTTATGCAGTAGGTACTCCTACGTCGCCTCATCCGTAAAACAACTCATAATGTAATAAGACGCCACCTTGGTTGGAAAAATGCGCGTCGAGAAGAGTATTGCAGTTCTAGAGTTTGGTAAAAAATCTTGTTTTAGATTCATTTTACGCTAGAGGTTCCAGTTTTAACCTTCATCACCTGACGTTGAAATCTATCGCAGAAATGTCTATGGCGGAACAGTCTATTCTCCATAGCATTTACATATCATTAACCTTTTTTACTCCATTCGAAAAGTGGTGTGAATTATATTTCCTTGCATCAATAAACTTATGTTAGCTGAGTACCATTTGGGAAAATTGATTTACCTCTCAGTAGTTTCAGTGCTTTTCTAACCTTTCTCAACAACAATAACGTCATGGGTGCATTGAAAGATTCGTTCCTGCTCAACGTCGTGACGGCACAGACCATTTTGGGTCGAAAGCAAATGTGTTGGAGAATGTTTCGAACTTTAGTATGGCTTTCCATTATTCAACCGATACAGTATGACCTTTTCCTCATTTGCTTCAAGTAACAATCACCGGCTTAATTAGCCTACGACTTTCAGATATAATTCACTAACAATACAGGCGAAATGCTTTGATTTCATTTTATTGGGCTTCTTCCGAATTGGTAAAGTTTAATATCCAAGTATTGAAATGCAGGTAATACAACAACTCTGACGGAAAACTTTTTTATAATTTTTAATGCACAACAGGTGTACAGAAAGTTCAGGAAAATCCTGTAGAAAATCTGGGAGCCGCGCTTGTATGCAAATAGCGATTTACTCTGAATTCAAATCGCTGTAGTTAGAAGTATCTTGAGATGATGAAGCGCAGACTTCTCTCGGGGGAACCAAGTGGGCCAAATCAGTCGAACACTTTTCTTACAAAATCGCAACACATGTTTCGCTATAAACTAGCTTTCTGAAGCGTTTGCATTTATATGAGCAATATTACAAATAACACTGAAGGTGATATTGAGTATTGGAAGTTACTGAAGCATGTAAAAATGTCTATATAGTTGAAAATCGTATTCCAAGTTTCTGAGAAGCCGCTTTTCCTATTTCAGTAACGTGATTCTGACAGGACTTACTAAATATCAACTAATTTCTTCTGAAAAAAACCCTCTTTTTATAACAGTCTTTTTTGTTCCATTTTTCAGGTACGATGACAGGTACTTCATTGTTAATCTATTGATTCAAACACTATCACTATCAAAAAAGTAGTTTTCATATTCAGAGTGTTCATATTTTTGCAAATCTTTGTTTCGGATAGATTTTTGTTCCAATTAGTTTTGAAAATAAACTCCCTTCTTTACCTGATCCACGTTTTTTTGTTGTAAGGAGTAACTGACTTTCTTTTTTCAGAAGTTATTATATTTGCTTATAACAGACGTTATTTTTTTTTTAGCAGTTATTCACTGTTTTGTAGCAATAATTCACATTTTTGTAGCAATTATTCACCTTTTTTGTAGCAATTATTCACATTTTTTGTATTGATTATTCACCTTTAGATCAAAAATGACTTTTCCCAAATTGAGACCTGAAATATTCCATTTAAGTTGAAGCAAATCTAAAAATTCATACTATTTAGAGCCTTTGGAAACAATGGTATTCGTGACAAATTGACATAAAAGTACACAAATGTTCTGGCGTAGGGCAAGAGCCCTCCCACCACATTCACGTGCTCTGCTTGATAGCTGAACTTGCCGAAACGTCGTGATAATGTCAAGGTCGAACGTACACCCGGGACGAGTGTTTGAATGAAAATACATTTTGTTTTTCATACCAATTCAACTTTTTTTCACCAGGAAACACTAAAAATTGATAATAATAGGTCTGATGAAAAATATTATTAAAAGTATGTATCAATACAAAAAACTCTGTAACAATTCATTTGTAGATTTTGCCGCCTTTTCGATGACTATAACTTTGAAAATAAAAGCAACCATCTTCTTACTATAGATTCATGATCAACGTACAATCACTACAAATATTCAGTTTGAATTTGTTATTGAATGAAAGTTCATTATCATACAAATATTAAAAACATTCTGTAATGATTTTGTACACATTTCCGGTTCAGTTTATTCTAGAACGTTTCACAGATTTCGACAGATAACACGACAGAAATATTCCTATCAATTCCACTAACAGAAAACCTATTGCTATCGCAACGAGTAAGTTCGAATGATTTATCATCCAGTTTAAAAAGGCACCGAAACATCCTTTATCGTAAAAGGAATTAACCTCATTAGGTGAAGTGGTGCATGTTGGCGTTAAAGGTTTGTTGTTACTGTCCAAAACACAACAAGACTCCGGTATAACTTTATCACTATTCAACCACTGTTCATTTGTCTGGTAATCTGTATAATTGTCAACACCACAGCAGTGCAGAGCTATTTGTATTTTGTTCCAGGACAGCGTTATGGCATCTTCGTTGTCTGATTTCGAGTAATACTTAGATATTGACAGTTTCAACGAATTTTTGATTTCCTCCTCAGCTTTGGCCTTGTAGACTACAGCAAGAGACACCGCCACCACTTCCAAGATGAGAATGATTAGTAGGAACGAAGCGTACGTAGTGAGTATGCAATTTGATTGCCTCAAAGCACCACAGTATCCCAGGAGGCTCACAACTAACATGAAAGCTCCTATCGATATAAAAACATACGAAATTTGTTCTATCACTCCCGGTTTGGTAAATTCTTGCAGCTGTTCATTTGGAATGATGGTGACGAGACCAATGAACGAACTCTTGTCTACCGCCAGCCACGTACCTAGGCCCAGAAGGGCGAAAGCTAACAAAAATATGAAGAAGTTGAATCCACACAATATATATTTTGCACAGCAGTCGATCATTTTCAAGCAGGTTTGTCCAAGAAACTAGTTTTCTCAAACTCATCGATGTAAATTGGAAACCATTTGGAATTTTTTGACCATTTTTGGTTGAAACATCCGAAAATTATGGTCCTAAATCTGAAAGAAAAAGGCACATTATTATTCAAACCATGATTTTCAATAATATTCTGAAATTGCATCGTACGTCACTTTGACATTTTATTCGATATGGAATTTTACAGAAAGTCATATATTGAGTAAATATGTTCATGATAAATGCTTCAAGATGTATCCCGGCGTAGCTTGATTTCCGTTCGATAAAAATATGTTTACATTTACGAGTAGGTATGTATATACATTATAAATACTTCAGAAAGATGTTGATATGTCATACAATTTTTAGTAATATCATTTCCGTGTATATTCAAACACTCGGTTATTAGAATACGACTCAGGGACCAAAAATTGAGGTAGACTTTTTTTATTGCGGCTCCACTTATTTTTCCCTTATTTAAATAAAGTATTCAATGGATTCGTATCTACATAGTGTAACATTAAATTCAAACACAAACACTTCTGCTATAGTTCGTAATTCATCAATCAGTTTTATATTATATAGGTACTGTAAGTACAGAAAAATGCAATTTTTTCAAGTTTCACACTAGGTGAATAACTTCTGAAAAGTAATTGAAACCTTGTTATTGCACTTATTATTGTGTGCCCTACATACAACGTATATACAACATTGAAATGTATAAATTTCAAACTATATAAATAAAACTGAATAAAAATGAATTATTCACAATCTAATAGATACTACAGATGTTCAGAGTTAGGAAACACTATGGAAATCATTGAATTTGCGCGGGTCTAGTGATAGAACAAAAATTAATAGGTACCTTTTAACGAGGATTCTAATCTTCCAAGTGAATTTGACCACAAACCTCATGTTCCAAGGAATTTCAAAATTAATTTAATTTTTGAAACAGAAAGCTCTATTTTTTTCAATTCAGAATTTGAAATAGCAGAAAATTTCACGCTCAAATACATCTTCACATCTCAGATTAACGAAACGAAACGAAAAAAGTACATCTTTGCGCATATTCGTGACGATACTTTAACAAAACTTCAACAATGTTTCAAAAAATATTTCAAAATGAAAAATAGTAAGCTTTTCGTGCCACATGAAAACTTAGAGCCGGTACTCGAGACAAATTCGAAAGTATAATAAATTCATACCCTTGTGAAAAGAGAAAATTAATGCTCCTAAGGAAAATTATCACGAGGGTGGGAAATGTTGATTTTTGAACATAAATTGAAAAATGATAAGGAAATTCCATCTCTAGATGAATGATACTTCGTAAAAATGGATCTGGAGGCATATATAAATTTCCAAACTGTTTGGCTTCTGTATCACTGTATGCCTTGAAATAACTATATACATTTGTTTCATTCAGTGTGATACTGGCAAAATTTGTACATACTTTACATGAATGTTTTCCTAAACATTTTCCCAAAAGATATCCACAAACATAGCCAAAACTGTTGACTTCGGAAATGTCTAGAGTTCTATAATAATCATTTGTCTCTACTCTCAGAAGGTTTATGGGGATTTTTTGGAACTTCCACAATAATCTTCATTCTATTTATGTCTGCATCTGTAATACCAGATAGAATCTCACTAGTATCTTCTAGACAGTTAGTTCCTTCTACCTGTGTGAAATACTGGAGAGTAAATGTGTTTTTGAAAGCTCTGGTAATTTGAACAGGAGTTGGGTTTCTGGCATTTCCACAAGTACTTCTCTGTTGACCAAAATAATTTTCCACACAGTCCTGATTTATATTCCTCGTCAATATGTAGGAGTGTCCTTCACTATGTAGGTTTTCTCAAAGTTGCATGAATGCCGAAATTGTTATCTGCCACCCGTAAATGAATCTCATTTGTCCAGTCTTGTTTTTTCCTTTTTTTGATATTACAGGTAATTTGCTGAAAAATATTTTCATTTCCTTCAGAAAATCAATTTGTTTTGCTATTCCGAAAAAACGTTTATTGAAATCGATTTGGATTCAAAATATCAAACACTTTATCCATTTTTCAATGAATGTAGCCGTTTTGCTACTGATGGTATCTGATTCAAACTGGCATAAGTATTCATCGCTACCAACTGTCTGAAAACTTGACAGGCTAATTTAACCTTCATCCTTTGAAAGTTAGTTGGAAATGAATGAAAATCAGTAAGTTTGGGTGCTAGTCTATATTGCTTTAACTTATCCAAGTTGTAGAGTTGTCCAAGATGACTTTTGTTTGTTGTAAATTAATCAAATTTTAAAAAATCATCGAAAAAATGGTTTCTGCTACATTTCGGCAGATGAGGAGTCACAGTAAAAATGAAAATCTCTAAGTGAAGAACATTATCTCGATTTAGAGAAATGTTGTTCTCCTATATTCATGAAGAAATATTTTTATAAGCTGAGAAATATATTCTATCAAGTTGAATTTGAATCATNAATTCGGTCTAAGAGAATATCAAATTTTATTTAGAGAAAATGCACTTATTTGAAAACAAGATGAAAGATATGTTCAAAATAAGAGATTGGCTAATTTGAATCATCGTGGAGGATTTTTCAGTTCAAATTGATATACACTTGCAGAGATCTGCGAATGTAATAATGCATGTGTGAAATATTACGAAGCATTGACATAATTTTCGCAAAATTAGGGCAAAATTAAGAGTTGCTGTCAAAGTTTACCACTTTCTCTTCGGTACTAGGTATACAACGCAGTACTTACTGATATAGTGGAGTTTTTTTCTCAAGTAACCCAAACACATCAATTTTATCCAGTTATAATACTCACCTATGAAAATATCTTCCAACTGTGTGAAACCCCAGTCTTATAAAATCTGATTCATTATGGAAGATACAAAATAATCGGAAAAGAATTGCACTACCTACACACACTTCTTCCTTAAAATCACAACACACCAACGACACTTTCCAACACATACTGGCGCGTACGCGAACACTGTTCTACATTGTTTGTCATAATACTGAATTTAAATTCTTTTCAATAATATCTATCTGGTTAAAATCTGTTTTTTAATCTATGTTCAAATAAAAGTTTTTTTCGAACTGAAATGAATGAAATACTTCTTTAAAAGAAATCATGTTCATTTTATACAAAATTCCTGTTATCTTCAGTTCAGTTTTGTATATAGATTCACAAAACTCTTGTTATAAACGAATAGAGTTATTTGAAGGGATATAGTTTTGAATTCAAACAAACAATATGTTGTCAGATCAAGTTGATATTGCTCTCCATATGAAACAGTTTATTTTTCTCTTTGAATAGGTGGTAGATTTTGAGATGATATTATATTTTCTTGATTAAATATAGTTCATCTTTGCAATAATATAATCAAACGAATGATGTCGTTGAAAGGCCAAGAAATTTGATTTCTTCGTCAAAAAAAGTGTGATTCTCTTGTGGAACATGGCGCTGTTGGCATGAAGTAATAGTTTTTCCAATAAAGATAAAAACTTCAAAGCAACCTATGATCTTCTTTAAAAGAAATACTTTTTACTGTCTAACAAAAAAATAAAATATTTTTTTCTCAGCAACAAAGAAATATGGATGCTCTTTTTTGATTATTGCCTAACAGCTTCAATCAGAATACTTTTTATATCCAGTATTGATGTGGATGAATTGGTAAAAAAGTATGCAATAGTAGGCTCCAAAAAAAGTTATTTGAATATACATTTGATACATATTAGCCAAATCAAAAAATGTGGTATTTACCTTTGTGAATTTCCAGTGGAACTCCGATTGATTTGTCATTTTATGAACAACACAGTTCATCAGATAATGTTTCCACGTATATCCACGTTCTTTGTGTATATTATATATTTTACTACAGAGTCTTTGATTTGCTTTTTGTCATGATGATACTAAAAGATTCCTGGGGTTTTCTTTCAATCATTATTGTAATTCTGTGCAATCAATCGCATTCACCATGAAATGTCGCTTGGCTTCAACTCGTTTATTGAATATTTGATGAGATTCTAATAGAAGCGGCAACACCGCATTGTCGAAAATATTTTAGTTGGCTAGAGAATGTCCGAATATGCCCTCCATTAAATTTTCAAAGTGATCCGTTGTCTGTTTCTCCAGAAACGTCTAATGTGCCATCCACCGTGAATCAGCCTGTAGTTATCTTCACATATAGTAAGTGGGCATACTTGAAGAATGGCTGTAAATCAAATTATCTAGAAGAACAATTGGTTCAGGCCAGTCTCAACTCACCTATACTGTAGATTAATGGACTAACACCATCATGAAAAAACTACTTTCCTGGCTAATACCACGAAGGGCGTTGGATTATATCACAAAACTACTATAAAACTGTGATAGAACAGAATGCACACCCAATTCTTTTTTTTCTTAAACTGACAAAAACAACTTCTTTGGAAAACGTTTCTGAAACAAAATCCATTTTAAAAACCAAACTAAAATATACGTTTTTGCAAGTGTTCCTAATCTAACTAGGAATAAAGTTATATATCATCTGTTAGGTTCTGTAGGTCACTAGCACTATCAGTCATTACGTAGTCATTACGGTCACTAGCAGTCATTACGTAGGGAACGGTATGGTTACAGGTAGCAGGTTATCCCCAGGGAGAGTGGTTTTGACCCCACTGTTATGGAAATTATATTCAGGGTTTTAATTGAGACAGTCAGATAACTGTGTTATCCTTGTCCAAAAAAATATGAAAAACCAATACAACAGTCTCTTAATACTATAACGAGATGGACTGATGAAAAAGGGATTAACATTAGCCCATCATAGTTTTAACCAAGAGGATGACTCACTACCTTAGAGGCCAATCATAGATGAACAAATTCATAGCTCCACAATTGTGTCGAATCATTGGAAACACAGCTTGTTTCAAGACATACAGTTGAAGCCGAAATAAACGATATTGGGCAAATTTAAAGTTGGCGGCACTCTCAAAGGCCAAAAAAACCAATACATAGAAATGAACCGGCAGCGAACTTGTCTACGTGGACTGTATACTTGATGGTTCGTATTGGATGATTTTTATTAACCGAGTTTTATGGTTGGCTGAAGAGTCATGGAATGAAATTAGAAGTCATGTTACGGTGACGAATAGAAATAGGGGAATGCGGGAATGGGTATCGCCGTCGTGTTCAGTTCAGGAACTGATCGCGATTTGAGTGTTAGAATTCGATATTGGTGAAGTTATAATTACTTAAAATTTTTGTTATCTGCTTAGAATGTGTCTTCTTTGGAAAAGTACTAATAGTATTAACGAGTGTGATAACAACGCATGTTTTTCAAGGGGATTGATTCCAATAGCGATGGTGAACAATGCGAAAAAGAGATACCAGTGAATAAGATGACACGGAGTTTGGCAACATTTTTGTTGATTCATGTTATTATTCTCCATAGTAGTAAAATTTTAAAATAATTTTTATTGTTTCTATATACTTCAGTAAGAGCGTCAAAACGATAGTCTAGTTCACATGTACTTTTTTTTGTAACATTTTTCAGCCCTGTCCAAAAATTACGACCAAGGTGTCATTCGATTTTGCCTAGAAAGTTCAAGGAAAGGTCCGAAAACGCGCCGATAAAAATTACAAAAGTTATAAACAATTAAGTGAAAAAAAATGGGGCTTTAGTTTTTTCTTAATATCTCGGAAAATTTTCAAAATTTTNCCCAAACGAAAATTTTACTCTTTCCTCAATATTCTCAACAAATAACAGGTGACAATATGGAATGGACTTTGCCGATAGATAAAAAACATATCAATTGGTGAATATAATCAATAACAGAAACACTTCCTGATAACCCAAATTTGTATTGTTTGCTGTCCAAAATTCTCCAGTACCACTGTCATCAATTTTTTTTTCACTTAATTGTTTATAACTTTTGTAATTTTTATCGGCGCGTTTTCGGACCTCTCCTTAAACTTTCTAGGCAAAAATACGAATCGAATGACACCTTGGTCGTAATTTTTGGACTGGGCTGAAAAATGTCACCAAAAAGAGCTAAATCGAGTACATGTGAACCAGACTACGACACTCAATCCCTCATGCGATATAAAAAGTTTGCAGTGAATGTCACCCCCTTCAGGGGGTGGAAAGAGCGGAGTTGAAAATTCCGTTAAACAGTTCTTCGTAAAGTCCAAAATTGTGCTCAGAATACCATTTCTAACTGAATAAAATATCTGTTTCAACAATAAAACTCAAACCACTCAAGTACTGGAATGAACAAAATGACCTTTAAATTGTGATATTTTCAAAAATAAGAAAGAAACCTCGTAATAATTTGAAATCATACCGTATCGTATGGCCTAGATTCCTAAGAATATTTTCAAATAGGAAATGAACGAGTGAAAGTGACAACGATGCAATCAGTACCTTGTATAACATAAAAATGTGAATGAAATAAATTACCTTATAGAGCATATCCGACTTTATACAAATAAAGGCATTTCCTGGAGGTCATTCGCCAAGTGTTGAATAAAAATCAGCTGCCGTTGAAGAGAGAAAAATATAACAACAAACAAGTAAAAGTCAACGCTGAATTGATTGTTAAGTTTGTAATATCCATCTATTTATTAAAGAAATTAAAGACCCATCCGATACTTCCTTTGACAAATTTCAAGAAGTGCAGTAAACTTGTTTACCTTGCGAAGTACACAGTAGCTAAACTGAAACGCGCACTATAACCATGACAACGTTTTCTTGAATAACATAGGATACAGTTAGGTTAGTTCAAATGTTCGAAGAGAAAGGACTACTGACACATAAACGAACGTGCATCATTCAGTGGTCGAGCAGGCATCTGTCTCGGGGAACTCGTTATTTCGACAGAGTTACTGAATAATTACCTTAAAAGGAAAGGAGTGAGTAAACTAGTCCGAAGAAATGGCCAAAAGATAAGCTAACCTACTAAGAATAATGTATATGTAACATTTTGAAAAACGATCAGTCGACGTTATATTTACCTTGAGGTAATGTGATATAAGGTAATGTGAGGAAGATCGAAGTGAATTGGATGTCGTAAATTGGAGCATTGGAACATCCACCAAATGAGAGTATAACTTGTTAATATCGTGTTGGTCATAATTTTATAAAAATCAAGAAATCGGTCACTTTCATGTAACTATATACCAAGTGTCAGAAATTCATTAGTATCAGGTGTATCAAAATTAGATATATTAAGAAACTACAAATCGCAAAGTTTCATGCGTAATATTTTTTTACAGAAAATATTATTACCTCTATTTGCCATCGAAAATATATAAATTTACAATAACAATTATTCAATCTAATTCAGCAAATAGATCGGTTTGTTTTCCATAAAAGGTATAACCATGTACATGAGCAAGTTAACTAATCTATCAATGAACGTTCTAAAATTGGAGATATAAAATGTGGAATGTAAACATCAAAATTTGTAGAGATATAAAATTTTAAATGTATAAATGTAAAATAGTAATATCAAGAGACACATAAATATAAATTTCAAAATGTATAAATATAGATTGTTGATATCTAAAGATGTAAAAATATAAAATTTTAAATGTTAAACTGTAAAATATGTGTATGAAGGTAAACATGTGAAATTGAAGAAATATGAATGTGAAATTATATCTTGACCTAATAAGTACATAATATATAATATAAAAAGAATGACAAAATATCTGTGAATATGCATTCAATACTGTTTGGATTCATATACACCTCCTTTATGATTAATTGAACGATTTTGAAAATAGAATAGTTTCTATAATTATATCCAAAGGAATTCAAGCTCTTGATACACTTACTATTCGAGGTAACTACTCAGTATATCATTCCTTTAATAATTTGGTTCACTCTTTCTGCAGGTACTGTTTGAAGACAATTTTTGATTTTTTTTTATTATTTGTTGGTTGTGGGTATGTCTTAAGTCATTGGGTATTTCAGCATACACAATTGGACTCAGATAAGACAGAAACTTCTGGTGTGTGGTTGTTTCCACTTTGGGTATTTTTGTTGTTTTTTGTTTAGAAATAAGACTAGTTGGCAAAATTTAATTTTCGAACCAACTATTATTTTTTGAATGTTGACTTTTTTACAAGAACTTATCTATTTGCGACTTGATTAACAAAATCAACACAAATAAACTGAAAAATCATTGAATTGAACGAAAATTCATCGGATTTATCTGATGATAATACACCATAACTTTTGATTTCACCTGATTTCTACTCATTTATTGAAATATGTAAATATTTTAAATTTTAATATTGAAACAATACGAGTATTTCCGACTAAATACCCAAATGCCACTGCATGTATTGAACGACCCGAAAGCTCATGAAATATTTTGTTGGCGACCCGTTTGCGATACAAAAATGAGATCAACCTAGTAGAATTTCATCATCGCTTATACCAGCTATGGCATATCAAAACGAAATTACAAATACCTTATACTTGCCCCAACTCAGTACGACTGATATAACACTCGATATCTGTTGTTTTCCAGTATTTTTCTTGCTGATTCGTGATTTATAGGCAGGTGTGGCCTAATTTTTATTGGGGAAACCCTTTCATCAAACTCAACCAAAGCAAAAACATTGACCTCAGTCGTGTCATTTACAATAAACCTCTATTCTGCTTAGCTCTCAATTTTATTTTTGCCTGAAGCGATCCTCTACATATAGAATATACTGGTGGACTGGATTTTGCCGATTGAGATATCTGTGAGCATACAATTCAACAGAATTCCTCGAGTTTCTAAGACATTCTGCAAATATTATCCACATTTTCACTCTGATTATGCTTTTTTTGACAAAAAATTGAACTCAAACTTAATAAAATATCACATTTGACAAAATCAGTTGAATTATCATCCAATGTTTTCCTCATTAGCATTAAATTTATGTTCTTAATACTTGCACATGAAAATATAATTTTGCAAATTTGTTTCATTCATGTCCACCATACTAGTTACTTAAATTATGTGATGTCCTCAATGAAATATTGAAAGTTTTTACCCATTTCTGTCAACATAGTTTCAGTATGTGGTGAATTTGCTGATATTAGGAAGGTTTAAGGTATTGGCTTTGTATTAAGAAAAGGTTACACGTTTCCAATAACCAATTATATTCTATTTCAATTTTATGTGGGTTCTCTAAACTTCTAGGAATAATTATCGATGCCAAAAGTTCAATATGAGAATTTTAGCATGGTTTCACGAATAGCCGGTTCTATGCAACTATTTCGTTTGTTTTTCCAGATTTGTCGACGAGATATTAAAGAAACGTGTTTGTTCATAATGATTTTCAGGAAGCTGATCCTATTGTCAAAACTTCATTTCTTTTGATCCTCTCAGAGTGTTAAAAAACTCATTCAAATTATATTTCAGATCTCATTCTTCACAATTCCGACTTAGGGAGTACCAAAAGATCAAATCTAGGTCCTTTACTAGTCATCTATTCCTTCATTACATGAATGATTCGAAATATTGTCCCCCAAAGCTATTAAGATGATCTGAAAAGATGATCACAAAACTCGATTCAATCCGAGATTGCATTAACCTTCAATTCTACAGTTAGTGTGAGCATTATACTGATAAATCATGATGTTTCACAGAATATGAAACGTTGAAACAAATTTGGTATCGTAACAAATTGGATATTATTTCGAAGCAATAAATACAAGGACAAACAAAACAGTCAACTAAAAATCTCAGACAAACGAAGCAGTCAAGTTTCCATTCGTGACTACCTTGTGCACCTCTTCCTCCCTTAAGTGAGAACATGAACTACTATGAATTATTTCAATATCATTTGGCGCTTTTCGATACTCAGTTATAAACATCACATATAAATACAGGCTGAGTTCAGTTTTTGTGTCGCCGTAAGTGAAATCCTTGCAAACCTTTCACTTAATTCACCATGTAATTCATTGGAACTGTTTTAGATAATTATGTATGTAAGACTTGTCAGGAACGTGCAAAAAATATTGGTAGTCATTGAATTTCTGGAGTGGAAAGTTGATATAAATTTGTTTTCACTCTGATTGATTTCAACAGCGTACTACACTGTTCCAGGGATATAACCAAAAATAAACTGACAAAAGATGCATTCAAAATTATTCCCAGATTAACAGTACTCAAATCAAAAACTGAAATTAATAGATGACTGATTTGAATGTTTTTTAAACTTTCAATTTTGATTTTTTATTTTCATTGTAGAACAAGAAAAGGAATTAGTATAGAGTATGAAAGATTTAATTTTAGGAATCACGTTCCTAACTTCTGAACAATCATCTGCAAAAAATCATTATCAATGAATAAGTCAGTTCTAAAATCAAGTTTAAAATTGTTGTTGTCATGGTCACTATCCAGGACGTTCAGAAATACCCCATGCGAATCAGCGAAAAAAAAACAGCAAATTTTCTTAGATTTTTTCAGTTCTGAGGACAGAGCAGATTTCAGTCTCCGAAACATTGAAATGGGTATGTGTACAATTTCTTAGCTCTTTGCTTGACAGGCAAAATTATTGAATATAAATAGAACATTTTTCTTTGTAAAAAATTCATTGAATTTAAGCAGTAACTTATCAGGATAATATACAGAAACGTGGCCTTCTCACACCTGTATAAAATTCTCCATAACAATTTTCATATTTTTTCAGAAAGATACTTTTTACGGAAAAATATCTCCAGAGTAATGTAATCGCACAGGAACATGCTAGGGTGTCAATGTAGACTCGTAATAAAATAGTCAATTACAGTGTTCCTATCCTAAATTTGTTTTTTCGAAATGTTCAAGTTAACAAAAAATATCTAGAGAATGTTATATTTCGATAAACAAAATACCAGGCTGACACCAATTATAATTTTTTGGAAATGTTTCCATCGGTTACCCGCATATGCAATCGCGACCAACAACTAGTTTAAAAAAAAACTGTTTTTCCGTTAACCAGCTGTCGCACCCCTACGAACGACAACCCTCAGAAGTCGAAACTTGTGCGAGCTAATGATTAACGAGGTCTCACCTTTCAACGTGTGATTCCTAACACGGGTTGGACGATAGCAAGTGAAAATCGATCTTTCAGACTAGGGCTTGAACCACCGACTAACACGACAGTCAATTCGAGTGAGTGAACAAAGCACCCACGTCGAACCGCTTGGCTACCGACCGACCAACTACCATAATAACAAGGAATTTTTAAGAGCAATTCCTCTTTGGAGTTTGCAGCTGCATGCATACGAATAAATCAACAACAACAACACTGAGTATATTTACAATATTCATAAAACCAATAATGATTCATCCAAACAATCAAATCAAATGATCAAATGATAATTCCATGCTATATCCTGTAACAAAAATATCCTACATCCATCAAAGAATCAAAATTTTGCCAGACTGTACCAAAAACTCAGCAGAAACTTTTACTTTTCATTTTTAAATTTTCACAGAGATTATCGAGCTGGCATCATGAAGAAAATGAGAATGAATTGTACTTTGAAAACTGTGTTATCATTGTTCCACAAAATGCTTTGGAATTTGTAGTAATTGAAAATTTAGAATGCTTCAGCATCTCAAACGATCGTCAATATGGATTCTAGAAACAAAAATCAACAGGAGTATAATTCTCAATAAGAGATTCAACTCAGACCGACGCTTTCTGCGAGTAGGATTTGTCCATTTCAAGGACTTTATAGACTTATTGATTCACTCAAGAGTTGTATGTCCATATGTTCTGAAGCACAAGAATCGAGATTACAACTGATAACTCTCTCCTGGTCAAGCGGAAATTTAC